CTAGCAAAATGACCAGAAAAAAGAATGACACAAAGGGCACTTTTAGGAGTGGACATTTTAAACTATCTGATTTTCTAAGATTAAAACCAAAAACCTCAATGTTTTATATTTTATTTGAAGAGGAATAACACAAATCTATCAACTGATTGGCCTTTCAGTCCCCCGCTGAAGAAAATCATCCCCTCAGGAAGATGCTGCCACCACCATGCTTTACTTTAGGGATAGAAAGTTCAGGATGATTAGCAATGTTATGTTTTCCCTCACTCACAGAGCATTGTATGTGGACCCAAACGCTCAGTTTTGATCTAATCCTACCAGAGAACCTCCTTCAACATGATTGGTTTGCCCCCTTGTGGAAAACCTTGAATGTGACATCTGAGTGGGCACTAGAGCAATTACATGTTTTTTGTCATTTACAGTCTTCTCATCAGTTAAAATCACTTTTTTTTTTATATACCTTTGGGAGGCAGTCATTTTTTTTATGTTTGGTGGACTATAACTGTCAACTTGGCCATGGCTTTCATCTACTTCCCTACTAAAAGAACCCGTTATTTTTAGGGTTTCTATCAGGCACTATCACTCACTAATTCTTTAATTAAGCAGCTATATAGTGCATTTTGATGTCGTCCTTTATCCTGCACCAGATTTGGCTACAGTATAGAAAGTGAGGGAATAAAAATTTGAATGTATTCAAAAGGCTTATCGTTAATCTTTGAAAGAAATTGATATCAGAGCATAGATGTGTGTTTTTTGCAAACAGGGACTAAACAATCTTAATGAGGCGTCACTAGGTTTAATAACTAACTGCAAAGTTTACAAGAGAACCAGATGGCATTGGCACCTCTAAAGAAGTGATCTCACACACTGACTTCTGCTGCGATGATAAAGGCACACAAGCTCTCCCCTGAGCTCCAAAAACTGCAGCTCTCAGAGAACTGAGTCGAGTCTTCGAAGCCCCTTAAGCCGGGTGAGGGGCCACCAAAAGGTCTGCGTGAGCCCTAACTGGCCACAGACATCTCTGGGGGGCTTTCCAAAGACAAAATAAAGGGGAAAAAAGAATAAGAAGGGGAGAAAAGGAGATAGCACAAAATGTTTCACAGATTTGAAACTAGGAACCTGTTCCTGTGAAAAGGGAGCAGACAGCTAAGCATCTGTGCGTCTGTGTGGCGTTTCCAACCACAAAACACCCATACGATTGAAGGAGCTTCATGAAAGAGAGCAGGATTGTTTCGTCGGGGAGGTTTTTAATGCACACCAGACAGATGGGTTCAGGGCCATATTCTCTTTGCTTCTCCTCTTTTTCTTTCCAGTGTTTTAAATTGAAATACATTAGAGTGCAAAACAACACATTAAGGGTGATCAGTATTTAATATCAAACACAGCCTGCATTTTTTTTCTCATCTCATCCTGTGCACGTGCGGCAATTTAAGACGACTAATTCACTTCAATCTTGGGAAGCTCTCTGACTTAGCTGCTCTTGAAAGTCATCTACTGCAGAGCAGTCAGATCTATACACATTTCTGACTTGACCATATGGGTTCCAGCTCATGCTCAGCTTGTGTTCTCCAAGAAAACACCCTAAACAGGGAGGGTGATCTACTACGCTCCACATTTCCTCAGCTTGTCAGAAGAAATTAGGTCAAGAGTTGAAACAGTTTAAAAATTCTTATGGGAGAGTGTTTCTCATGGCGATGAAGAGAAACATGAGGAAAATAGTAGTCTGTGAAGATAAATACAACACTATTACAGCTACAGAATGAATTGAGTGCAACTCATAAGATAGTTATTCATACTCTAATGTTTTGAGACTTTTCAGCTTATTTGATCTGTTTAATGCGTTGATTAGGACGTTATGTGACAAATCAACAAAAAGTACTTTATGGTAGCTCAGGCTGTATGTTTGGGGTAATTGTATTGATATAAGATTAACCTCTGCCTAAGTTTGAAGTACTTTCAGTTTTCTTCCAGGAGTTCACTACTGAGCAAAAAAAACTTTAAAGCATAATGTTGCAAACCCTATGCTTCCCAATGGAAAAGCATTTTCTCTAAAGCCAAAACTCAACTAGTACAGAGCAACTTTCTGTTTTCTACATGTTTTGCAGTAGTTTTGACACACTTCTTGACACACAGATTCCCACAATTGATCCGTTTATCTCTGCAAATAGCTTGTTCCTTGTGTCTGTGATGCAAACTTTCCTTACAAAGCTCAATTGCAGTTTAGAGTGTACATGAAATGCCATGCAAATAAGATTCTCTCTGAAAGCAGCTGCTTGTGCTAAATTATGATTTGTAGATTAAATCAGTGTCTTACTTTCTGGATTCTGGAATGATAAAAAGGTATAGGTTTCATGTGACCTATTTTTTATGTCATATTTGTGTTGGTTTAATAAAGTGACTTTCAAAACAGCATATTGAACTTTATTTGAAAAATAAGTAAATTGTGAAAAGCTTTGAGAGGTTATTATTATTTTAGTTGGACTCAACTGAAATCAAAATAACCAATCCTCCTGTCTCTCTTGAATAACCCAATAAAGGGGAGAACATTTGTTTGAACGGTCAACTCATCATTCACAGTCGACTGACACTAGCAGTTCTTCCAAAATCCAGTTACAATCATCAGCCGTCATGTTTTGGCCATTTAACCTGCAGGTGTTTATGAGTCTGGATGTGAGCCAGAGCAAATTCCCATGAAGCCAGAAACACTGTCTATCAGACCCCTGCAGAGGCAGCCTGATTGATGGTTGATGTATTTAATTAGAGATGCATTGATCAGAAATGGTTAATACCAGTTTCATATCCCTACAATATTGTACTGTTCACAACAACTTCAGATGTTTCCGATTCATCTTAATCTACTATAAAAGAACTATTATATTTACAGTATATAAAAAAATTCTATATCACAAAGAAATGCCTGAGGTGCAATACACATTAGTAGAGTACTAACTACTTAACTCTATCCATTCAGGTTTTCAATGCAAGTACTAAATATATATTACTTATTTGATGTCAAATTTAAAAACTTACTACATTATAATTTGCTCTGGAGATGGTTAAATCATAAAAACTTAAATGTTACATACATATATAACCAACCCAAATTATAAAGACATTAACACTGTTAAATATTGTTGATGATTATTATTGAAACTCAGAACACTATCTTAATATTTACCATTATTATGATGTTTATCATGTTTTTTCTAATATTGTGAAGCAAAACTAAATATATTCAAGAACAACATTGAAAAGTTTTTTTTACCCTTCCTGTCATTAAAGAAAAAGTCCGGTTAGGAATGATGAATGGATCATTATTTGTATTTGTATTATTTGTATTTGGCAAACACCGGATACAGCACTGGGACTTGCTCAACAGCCGATATTGCACCATGACGTCCCAAACTGGAAGGTGGCAGTAGTGTTCTTTGTCAAACATGGATGTTTCCAGTAAAACACATTCAAATGAAAATTACTCTTAATTAACGTATCATTTATTGATCAGTGTGTAATAAGTTCATATTTAAAGTAATTACAGGAGTTTGAATCCTGAATATCACTAGACTTTTTGTTGATTAACTTATATTAAAAGCAGAGGCAAGAGACTGACCATAAAGATGACCAAGTGTTTGTAGAACTGTTTTATTTTAATATTTTAGAATAAAGACCAAGCGAACAGACTCTTGACTTAAACAACCTTAAACATTTTTTTTCCAGTGGCTAGCACAGAAAGCTAGCATTGCAAAATTACATGACCCTATGCTTAGTTTTAATTAACTTGAGTTAAGATACCCTGAGGATAATCTAAGATCTCCGAAAGTTGGCCAACATTTCTCAAGTCTTTGTTGTCCAGACGAATACAAATTTTTTTCAAACTGGCTTTTAATACTTAGAACACACTGATTTTTGCTTAGGATTTTTGTTTTAATGATGTTTTTATCTTGATCTTTCTGTGAAGCACTTTGGTCTTCTTGGTGTTCTGCAAAGTGCTATATAAATAAACTTTGATTAGATTTTTTGATTTACAGCCAATGTGTTACATAATAGACAGAAGTTGAAAGCTGAAACCCAAGCCTTCTTGTTATCAGCTGAAAGTGTTGTTCTCTCTCACCCTTTTGCAGCCCAAACAGCATGCATGTCATAAATGCTGTCTCATAATAATAAGCTATTTATAATTCAATTTAAAGAGAAGATTACAAAAAAATAGCAGCTACTTGTTTACACTTGGGATCACATCCGCACTAAAGAGTTGTTGATTTACAGAACAAACTTTTTGCACTATAAAATTGCTCCAATAAACATGAGGTCACATATATATTAAATGTGCATCAAACGGATGAATAACAATATAAAAGGCACCTAAACCATCAAGTGTGATGCAAAACATTTGTCTCAAGATTTAGTCATAAGCTCCTACATCAATCCAGAGTTACAGTAAGCACAGACTAAATACTGAGCGCAAACAGAAAAAAAGGTAAATATCTGAATGGAAAGACAAGATTTCAAGAAAAAGAACATAGGTGTTAAGAATGAAAGAAAGCAAGGCAAAGGGGAATTATTTTTATGATCTGTAATATCCTGGTAGAACTTTGTTAGACACTAAAGCATGTGTTACCTGCCTTTTTCACAGCAGGCTGTTAAATGGTAGTGACTTCTGAGTGAGAGCTGTGGTCTTCGAGTACCCACAGACAGGGTGTCCTTCACCTCTTCAGCCTCCACACAAAGGATTTTTCACCTCCCTATAAATTAGGCAGCTGCTACATTTGACCTAACGAAACCACAGCACATATTTGCAGCACACACTCTCTGAGAATGTGTGTTTTTTTTAACTGTGTGTGTCTGTGGGACAAGGTCATCAGGCAGAATCATCAATTTGCATAGTTTACATGCACACATGTGGCTCTTGATGGGTTTATGGAAAGAAAAGTTGTTATAGGACTGATTAGAAACATCCTTGTGGTGAGGTAAAAGGAAGGAGCCCTGTTATTTACTGGTGTACATACCCCTGAGGATGTAATTCTGGTAGTTCTGGTCCGCTTCAGCTCCCACTTTGATCAAACATGTCAGTCCTTCAGCCACCACAAACTCGTGAACCAAATCTTTGTCATCCTAAAAAGATAGACCAAGAAAAAAATAATTTTAAGATCAGTTACTCTGTCCATCCATCATCTTCTCACGCTGAGTCGTGATGGGGCCAGTGTCTATCTCCGGCAGTCTACACCCTGGACAGGTTTCCAGTCTGTCGCAAGGCAACAAAGAAACACACAAGGACACACAACAATGCACAACCACCATCCGCACACACACACACGTACATTGACACCTAAGCACAACTTGCGGAAGCCAATTAACCTAACTGTCACGTTTTTGGACCTTTTGGAGGACGTACCCGGAGTACGCATGCGGAAAGACCCCAGGCTGGAATTGAACCCAGAACCGTATTGCTACAAGGCAACAGTGCTACCCACTGCATCACCGTGCAGCCCTTAATCAGTTAGTCATAATTCACAATATGTGCTCATCATTCATTCCAGTAATATAAAATAGTCTCCATTACACATTACTGCTTAGAAGTATGTCATTATTGTGATATATCATACACCAATGAAAACTAATATTAATCTTGTAGAAATTACTAAGATCCATTCTGTGCGTTATATTGAGGGCATCTATTATTTGAGTCTTAGTAAGTAGTTTGATAAAGCCAAGGTAGTTGATTAAAGATTACAATCATATATCATATTTTTATTTTTAATCCATCGTATAATAGATTAATAAAAAGCATTCACAAACCTTTACACTGTTATTGTCACGATGTGATGTATTTTATGGGCAGGCCAGCTACAGGCCATGTAGTACCTGGTAGTGTACAGTTGTTTAATGGAAGGAAAATGATGCATGGCTGTGAGAAATTTACCCCCTCACTAACAGGTGATGGAAACATGCATTTTCTGTCTTTTAAAAAAATTGAGTATTTGGGGGAAGGTTTAAGTCTTTGTCTTCATTATTGTAACTTTAAGAACATCTCACTACTCTCCTTCACTCGGAGGTCACCAGGTGTTGCCATGGAAGCACACCCATGAGCATTGCTGACAAGGACCTGGTGTTTCCAATCAGCCTCATAAGGGAAATCCACATTGACTGAGAGGGAGGGGAGATGTTTTGGGTTTTCTTTGGATTTACATAATTGCTTAGCTTCAATTTGTTCACGATTAATATAAATGGGTTTTTGTTTTGTTTTCCTCTAGAGGTTTAATTTACTTGATTGTTTCCCAAATAGAAAATGTAAATGTTGTAAAGGTTTCCACCCCTTTTATTAGAGATAGTACAGGCTGACGCTTTAAAAGCTGGGGTGTTTTTTTTTTTTTTGTTTGTTTTTTTTTTTTGCTGTGATGGAGGAAATAAGAGCCCCCGCTCTTCTGCTTTAAAGTGACAGAACAGTCCTTTTTGGAAAAACATAAAAAACAGAGCTCTATAATTTATGTGTGCTTAACTGGCCATTTTTAAGCAACAAGGTTTGTGCCTCTCTCTGCAAACCTTACAATTGCTTTTAGATTTTTTACAAAAAAATGTTTTTATATAACAATATCCCATACTTTAACCATACTATTTGATAGGTTAGTTCAGTCTGTAATCCAAAATAGAGTTTGGCAACTTGTACTATCATAAGGAAAGTCTTGCTCTTTGTCCAGCTAAATAAATTGTGAATTGAAACAGAGATACTGCATAACTCTTTTGATAACAATTTGCATAAACAAAGTTAAAGAAACATATTTTAGTTGAATATTTATTTTATAAACAGGAGAAAAATGTTTTACCCTAACAAACAGATAAATGTATTTTTTCTTGAAATCCAAATTTATGAAGAGAGTGTGCAACCTAATGAGAAGGATAAAAATAGGGTATAAAACTTTTTTGTACAATTTGCAAGATACTGCTACGTATGTAGATAGAGACTGTAGAAAAAAACAAAGAAACCCTGGAACTGCTTAGATGTTTTGGTCTATTTTTTAACTGAGATTATGTCATCAAAAAATAAAGTCTGTATATGTGACATAAAACTAACAACCTTAACACTCCCTCCCATTGATGGCACGGCAAAACTCATTTCAGGGAGATGCTTATCCCCCCCCCACCACCAACCCCCATCTATTATATATTAAGTCAAAAATATGTAAAATTCCTAAATTATAAATGTATATTGACCTCATAAGAAACAAAATTTTTGTTGAACCTCATTGAAAAGAAATTTCACTTCATGCAGCTCTCTAAATAATAATTTGAATCCCTTGCCCTGTTTTTCATTTCATGCTTTTCTGTTCCCCCATGAAAACACGCTGGCCCCCTCCTTGCCTCCTGGTAAATTTGGTCTAGATCCGCCACTGTTCCTCACCTTCACTAGACATGGATATACTTTAGTATATTCTGCTGTAAAATTTGTCTTATATTTTCATTTTTTACTCAAGGATTCAACTTTTGCCTTTTTACGGGGTGCACAGCTTTGAGTGGTAACTAGGCGACTGCCAGAGAGTAAATAGAAAATTATTGGACTGATCCAATGAGCTCCCTGACAACCAGTCGCCTAGAACGCTCGTTGAACAGAGCATCACTTTAGACAGATATGCACAGGTTTCACAAGCAACCTCCTTCCCACATTCCGCGCACTCTTGTTGTCTACGCAATCGCAGTAGTTTTAATCCGCACATGGTGCACAAATTATTGTATTGAATGCACTCTCTTGCTCGCATTAAATAAACCACACCTTGCATAGTCTAAAATCCAGGATAATTTATCTGACTTGCAGGCATCCGTGAACAACTATCTATATCAGGAAGACTCTCGGAACTTCTGTGAGACTTGGGATGTCTGACATGGTAGGGTTCCATCTTAGTTTCTCTGGATGCCCTTCTTCAGTAAAACCCAGAAATTTGCTTATGGTCAGATAAATTACTTTTGAACTTTTCTATCCCTTTAATAAAGCCTCTTTCCCACTGAAATTAGTGTGTTTTCCAAACATAGATCATCCTGCTAGCAATCGGCATTTGGCTCCCTTCCATTTGGCTCCCTTACGCATAGGTAGCATTGATGATGTCATCAGTTTGACAGAAATCAGGAAAGTAAACAATGGAGAGCAACACGTAAGCAAGCCAGGGCATAGTAAGTGTGCTTTACTGTTTCACACTTTTATCTGTCCGATCTCTCTGACCAATAATGCACCATGTTTATCGATTGTTGGCAGAGTGGTTTCGGCATGTTATATCCGACATGGCTGGCGTCTTGACATCCATATCTTGTGCTCAGTGGTATCACGTAAATTAGCCAGTTGACCTGGGTCTGGCATTCCCACAGCATTCTGATCAGAGCCGAGGCGATTTTAACGCGGTTGCTTGTCGAGTTGTTTCACCTGGTTAGGGCCTTTCAGATTTAGACAGCTAATGCCTGACATCCCAGAATCGCTGAACTTTGTATGTATTTTTTCAATTTTGGGTTTATACATAGCGTATTCATAATGAGTACAGAGAGAATATCCAACGACAACGCTATTATGCATAATAGCATAATACCCATGAAATGTCCGGTGCCTGGCCTGCATGGAAAGATTTCTTTGATTGCAGGATAAACTAAACTGCTTTTTACCGCCCACCAGAAAAAAAAAGAAAAAGAACAAATAAAAAGAAAAAGAAAGAAAGAAGGTTTGCAGTCACAGAAGATTCAGCAGGCCATAGACGTGAACGGAAGAAGGATCCATCACACTCACACTCACATGCCTCATGTAAGCCTTTAAAACTATATTTGTATTTAAACCAGAGGTCATGCTGTTATTTAAAAGGTAGCAGCTAGAGGACAACACTTGGCCAAAATATTAAAACTTCTATGATATAGATTTAGATTTTAAATAATTTTTAAAGGATGTTAACCACTTTAAAAACAATCCAGGTCAAATATTGCTAAATATAACAGTGCCATGTTGCACAGTATCTCCATAAAGTAAAATACAGTTAAATTTTGGATCAATACAAAATATACATCTTTTTTTTCAACCAAGTCACAGATATCAGTGTACAATAAACAAGGCAGTCCTCTTGGAGCTGGCTGGATCCGATCTGTTTTTGTTCTGGGATGCCAAACATATCCAACATCTTGTAACTGATGGTAAAACCACCTGCTTTTCTCACACCTGTCTGTGACTATGTAATTTAAGACCCAGCATCAGGACTTCTACAGGATTTACCGCTTTCTTATACATTCTACTGTTCAGATGGGATAGGGAGGAAGGTAGCAATAAACACTGTGGGGTGGTCAGGGCTTTTTGAGTCCCTGGAGGAAGTCTAAGTGCTTCCAGAACATCTTTAACATATATCACTGATGGAGAGTGCAGTTGTTTGGTACAGAGCCTAAATATAAAGAAATACACTGAAGTACACATTCAGAAATTCTTTAGAGGTACCTATTATGGAAATATATTTTAGATATATTCTGTTGTGGCCTAATAATGTGCTGCCTTTCTTCCCACACCGTAACTGGACCTGTAAAGCTCCACAGCTGCCACGAAGGCAGACTCTCAGCAGCACAGCTCTGCCTTAAGAAAACAGTACTGTGTCCAAGTCTGAGTGTGCACTGATTCATGTTTTCACACCACATATATCTCTTGCATTTTAACAGCTAAGCATGAACTGCTGCAAAAACTTGCAAATGAATAAGCACTGTGGAAAGGACCCAACTTTGAAAGCCTTCGTTAAAGGGAAATGTTATCGCAGTGCAATGCAAATAACCGTTTCAAAGTTTGTGATGTTGCAACTATATACCATCGTCTATGTGATCAGCAGGTATACTGTATACCCAAAATTATGCAGAAACTATCTCCAAATGCCATTATTTGTACAACATCCAATTTAAAGAGTAGCTGTTTTAGTCATGCTTCTACTCTCCTGGTCCATGTTTTTTTTTGCAGTAGATAATTTCATTCAGGTCTTAATGCAAAGCTATTTTTTGTAGTAAATGAGCTTTATCTAACTGTTAATGTCAAGGCTAAGCTGCATTGCTAGATTGGCAGCAAATGAAGAGTGATGGAGTTTGAATCACTACATGAAACAGCCACTAACAGAATTGTAACCACTATTATAGTGTCTAAAATCGGTTCTGGTGGAAAAGGCTTTGCTTCATGCAAGGAACATTCCCAAAACAACCTGGATTTCTTTAGTCCACACCATGTATGTCCAAATATGTCCAATGTACAGTACAGACCAAAAGTTTGTACACACCTTCTCATTGAAAGAGTTCTTTTTTTTCATTACTATGAAAATTGAAGATTCACATTGAAGGCATCACAAGTATGAATTAACACATATGAAATTATATACTTAACAAAAAAGTGTGAAACAACTGAAAATATGTCTTATATTCTAGGTTCTTCAAAGTAGCCACCTTTTGCTTTGATTATTGCTTTGCACACTCTTGGCATTCTGTTGATGAGCTTCAAGAGGCAGTCACCATCACTTTTTTGTGATTCCACCTGAGTTGTTTAGCACCCTGGCCTGTTCCCTAAATAAGTCTCTTCTTTCCTGACCTGCCATTTATGAGGTTATCTTTCCATTTTCAGACGATGGAATGCTCTGAAAAATGTTTGCTTCTCTGTTCTCTTATGAACCCTGAAGGCTTTCACAGAGCTGCTGCATTTAGATTGAGCTTAAATTGCACAGAAAGACTATTTATTTTATTCTGATGGTGAATAGCTGCAACACATTTTATCAGGTGTCATATATATGTTTTGCAAAACCCCAAACAGCAAAAAGACCAAAGATGTTACCTGAAAAATCTGCTTCAGAGAAAAAAGAGCTCTGCGTAGCTCCCGTCCGGTAGAATTGTAGAGTTTTTCTGTGAATCAGAAAAGAAAAGAAGAGGGTTAATATTAACATGTATCAATTCTGTAGATGTTCTGACTCCTTCATATTAAGTCTTCATAATAGTATACGATAAGATCACATTGCTGTAAATCCTTTTTTTGTGTCAATGTACAGTAATACAGGCAGTATAGGAAGCAAAAAAAGAAATCCCACAAAGAAATGCAGACGACAGAAACAGTAGGGCCAGCTCAGAGAACATCTGCAGAGAATTAGAGAAGAGAGGATGCTTCCTGCTAACAAGAACCAATCTGCAATTTACTATAATAATAAAAATGGTGGAACAAGCTTTAACCACTAGCCACCACAATGATTAAGAAACAAGTCATGCATCAATCAGCCTTGGAAACTGCACTGAGTAGGAAAGAGAGACATGATAAGATGTTTCATGATGGCTATTTTTTGCAAATCCTCTTGCAATCCTTTCCGTTTTGGCATCTGCAGAGTCTACCAGGGAGAGGCAGTGTTGAGAAAGTGGCTTACTCATCACTGCGAGGTGATAGCTCTCTGACTCAGCAAAAACTGCCAGTTGGTGTAGCAGACACAGCAGCATGAAGTGTAATGCAGTTTAATGTAGAGCAGTGCAGGCCAGGTCTTTCAGTCCCCATAAAAAAACTCTGCATTGGATTCTCTTTTTATTATCAAAGCTCCCACACATCCAAACCCTCCTTCTGACTCCATCTAACACAACACAGAGGAACAACTAAGCAGATATGACAATGCTGCAATAAAAAACATGAGACAAAACAGCTGAACTAAATCTTTAAAGTGAGAGAATCCCATTGTTAACTGGATACACTTGGGACAGCAGAGAAACAGTGTTCTGTCCATTATTCTTATATGCCTTGTCAGCTGTGGAGTAAATCTTACAGCTGAAGGACTGAGACAAAGACACGGCCTTGGTTCATTATGCCTGTCAGTTTTTTGGGCAGACATTTTGAATTTCTACATGCCAATAGCATAAAAACGGATCCAGTATGTTTGAATGGAAACATAAAATCTTTTTAGCAAGCTCAGATGACAGTAAAGATGTTTTTGTGTGTATAAAAATATTCTTTTTTTGTTTATTATTATTGGTGTTAATTTTTTTTTATTATTTCTTAGCTTTAAATTCCTATAAGAGAAAAATGAACGGTAACTTAGGTTAGAAATGGATGCTGTTTAACATTGAGCTCAACCAAACAGTAATTGCTTTAATTCTACCTCATCATGTCATCAATTGTAAAATAAAAAAAATAAAAAATAAAAACATCCCCCATAACAACAAACTGTTTTTTTAAATCACAGCCATGAAGTTCAAATCCCTTGATGGATACACAGATAAAATTTCAAAGAAAGAATAGAGGCAATGAATAGATCCCCTTATAGTATAAAAATAAATAAACATGCCATACACAGAATTAAGCAGTTAATTCAATAAATGCAATCCACATAAAAAGAGACCATTGACATGCTATTTCAATCTTAGCCAAAAAATATATATATTTGTATCAGGCCTAAACCATAATCATCAACACAGAAATAAAAACTTGCATCGTGTTACCTTGTGCACAATTAATCTATATTTTTCTTTGTTCTCATTTGAATCCCAGATCTTGTTTTAATTTACTTACATGTGCTTCGATCTAGCTGAAATAACATTCTATTTTACTTTGCTTAACAAGATAATGCAGCATTACAATCCTTTCACCTACAACCAGAGTTTAGTTGTTCTTAAACACATCTTGTTCCAAGTTTTATGATCTTAATGTCTTTTACATGCATAGTTTTGTGTGGTTTAGTCTATTGGTAAGTAAATGAGTACTGGTCTTTATGAGGAAGTCACACCAAAACATTGGCAGCAGAACCCTAAAGGAGTAAATTCTAGAACTCCAGAGGTATTATCAGGGGAAAGCTCTGTGATGTTGCTGATTTATGTCTTTATAAATAACAGGAAGGAAGTCGAACTGAAATTTTTCAGTTTGGGGCCCCTTAAGTTTAGTTTGCATTATATTTTCTAAAAGTTGCCATAAAACTGCCAAATCTTTGCAATTACAGGTTTCTTTCTCTGAAATCTCTTATAACTTCATTATGAAGGGAATATAAAACTAAGGGGGAAAATTAATGTAAAGATATTACACTTCTAGAATAAATCAAAACAAAACACAATTTATATTTAGCATTAACTAATGCTTAGTATAAGATGTATAACAATGTTTTAAAATCAAACTACTGTCCCGGAAGTTGCAATAAAGCCAGCTCTATTGCTCTGGAACTGCAGGAAGATTAGAGGGTGTTCAAACAGAAGAAAACTCATAACACCTTCCCAGCACAAAGGAAGCCTGATTTGTAGTCATACTTAACTCCATCTCCAACAATCAGAGCTAGTCTTCCATCTGTAGTCATGACTGCTCCGTGTCCATATGGACACTGATCATTAATCAGTCAGCGGAAAAATTACACCCAGCATTGCTGAGCAGTCTGGCATGGTTCTGCCTTGCGCATGAATCAGCACTTCAGTACTACTGAAAGCCACCATTGGGTCCTGTCTGAGTCTGTCAATCAGCAAGAGCAAGAGAGACAAATTCTTCCAAGCACAACTTTTCTGCCATTTGCACAAAGGGCTTGTGCTTCTCTACTTAGCCATGTAGTTTGGACTGCAATAAAACTGTCAGAAAGTTATTTCTGCCCAACATTAAATAAAGCCCATCTGCAAGAACATACAGTTCCTCTGCTGTCCCTATCTACTGTCCATACACTGATGTTTCTCTCAGAGGCCTGTGTTTAATGAGAAATAACTCAGTGGAGATTAGTTCCATACCACTTGGCACAGATATGTACCCAAACGAATGGGCCCTCTCTGTTTCCTTATTTAGGAAGAAACCTGGGAGCTTATTTATCCACAGGAAATGTTTGAAACCCAAATCAATGTGCATATAAAACCATACAAAAAACTTCAAACTCAATATCCTATAACATTCAACATATACTTAAGCAAGCTTAAGGGACCAAGAAAGACACAAACAGTCTGGCTAATTCTAATGTGATTTCAGCTATTACAGCTTAGATAGCTATATACACTGTGACAACCCAATAACTTTACGCATGCAAAACATACGACAAGTTCATCACAACTACATTAGATATTTTGGAGGATTTAATAAGCTTTGAAAAAAAAACATAGTTCCATTTTATCTCCACTGTATTACTATACATATGTGTATATAGATACATGTGTATATATATATATATATAAGATAACAATGTAGAAAAAATTGCTGTCGTTTTTGATTAGGATTTGCCATTTAAATCCCAAATCAAACAGGTATATATATATATATATATATATATATATATATATATATATATATATATATATATATATATATATATATATATATATATACAAGAAATATCTGGTTCAAAGATATTTCTGGTTCATGGCTGATGCTGAAAAACAAGCCCATGCATTTCTTTGCTATCAGGAAGTCCACAAGCTGTAGTAAAAACCCCTGGCTGATCTAAAATTCTGCAGCCAGAGTACTGATGAAAATTAAACAAAGAGGCTCAGGTTATTCTGAACTATCTCTGTAGTAGTAGGCTGTGATAGGCTTAGACTGCTGGAGGACATAGAGTACACTGTTTATCATTCTGCTTTATTATATCTCTATTCTCCAGTTTTTCTTATGTTCTCTCTTCATACTTTTTACATGAAAACCGGCTCAGAGCTCATCTGTTTTAACTGTTTCTCACCTAGACAGAGCCACTTGTGGAGCTAGTTTACTCTTACCCTTTTTAACATAGAAAGAATTTATGGAGCAGAGCTTCCTTGTTTCTTTTGTATATCTGCTTGTCTCCCCTTGAACCCCTCGACAACATTGGCAGAAGGCCGCTAAAACTGAGCGTGGTTCTGCTGGATGTTTCTATCTGTTAAAAAGGGAATTTTCACCAGTTTTCTCCTATTTCTGATCTTCAGTAAGGCACAAACAAATTTAGTTCCTGCCTTTGTTTGAGTGCTCCAGAATGGACATGGGAGTCTTCAGTAGATTATTATCCAAACCTAGTTTTTCACATTTGTAGTGACTACATTTGTTGTCAATTGTGGCAATTGTCCATTTTAAATTCCAGTGTAAATTAGGCTACATAATTAAATTGGTTGTTACTTTAAAGCAATTGTCAATTTCATTAGGCTACACAATTATATATTGTGCAACTCTGCAATTGTAAATTACATTTTTATTTGCTGACGACAGAACTTTTGGTCACTAGACTTGCAGTTAGCATGTCGGTATCCAGGGGACACAGTTGGTGCAAGGGAACAATGAACAAATATAGAATCAGTCATTAACATAATCATGAAATTTCTATCATACATAGAGATAGTATTACTATAAAAGCTGCTGTGGTAGGTTGTCCTCACCTACCACAGACACCTCAAAGCCTTGATAATGTTTAAGCTTCTCCAAAGAATATAAGCTAAAATAAAAGCTAAATGTACCCTATGATGCTCAAAGGAAAATGTAATAATTTGTATCCATCTCAACATATCTCAGATCTCTATTTTCAGTTTTTTATGGGTTTTTATAGGTTATTGTTTTTACCTTCTTATGCCAATCAAAACTTCTAATCAGGTTGAATTTCATTGTTTGTCAGCTAACAAATTCTGAAAAATGGTTTGACTTTAAGTTATTCCCTTGCTCATTTTCCATCTTGCAAACTCTTTAAAATGTTTAGTTACTCATCTGTTCACATGCCTTCATTTCCAGGGAGTGCTATAAAACGAACAGGATGACTACCACTGCTCATGCATCGCGCAGCAGGCGGAACACATAAACCAAATCCAAAGCACAGCCAGAAAACCCACAAGGACCCCAGTGGGGAGGAAAGCCTCACGTAGACTGGTGTAAATTAAACCGTGTTTACTTTCTCTGGAAGATGTGTCAACCTGAAAATTTTAAAGGGATCTTTTTCACAGTACTGTAATGTTTGTGTACA